GCCATCAGGCCCTGGAACTGTATTAGATTTGGACTTTTTGATAACACTTTTCAGGCAATCTGGTGAGATGTAACAGACAAACGACCTAGTTACTTTCTCATGCATTGCATGGTAATAATCACGGACCCATGGTGCCTCCAGGTTACAGTCGCCGGGTACAGACCACAACTGTTTCCAGAACCTTTCATTGGCATCCATGGGAGGCCGTTTATCATGCTCACCATCACCGTTTGTTTTAAGTTGCCTGTAGAAGTGTTTTTCATTATTTTTAAAAAGTTTATTTTGTTTGATGAATTTGTTTTCTTTTCCCATTTTTTCTTTCTATCAGTCCAAACCTTTGTTTTTGCCTTAAGGGAATCGACAATTTGGAGAAATATCTTTTCTTTCGTTGTTTTGTATTTCAGTTTTAATTTTCTCCAAATTGCCTTTTGTCGTTTAGACATAGGATTCCCTGATGATCTTAACTTTAGGCAAAGCTCTATCCAGGAAATGTATTTTCTAGTTTCTGTTAGTTTCACTTGAAACCGGTTTTTCTTTGGTGTATTTTTCTTAGTACTGGATGTGTTTTCTTTGGAAACTGTGTGAAGTTCCTCCAAGGTTCAAGCAGCAGCGTAGACACAACAATTAACTTCATGTAATGAACAGTCCGTAGAAAGTTTCATAGAAATAATGTCATTTAATAAATCAATTTCATGTTTGGGAAAAGATTATTATTATTATTATTTTTATTATTATTGATACCTGGTGTTCATTCAAAGGGTCAATCTTTCACCAAACAATTACGGTAACACATGATACAAATGAAAGGGGGGAATTCATCGAGCATCATTTTGCCATTTATGTGCCAAGTTTGGTACATCCTCCATGCACTTTTATTGCTTCACTGAGGCCTTGACCTTTGAGAGAGCGTGCAAATGAGCACATTGAAAACTTTCAAATGCAAAAAGGAGCAGCTTGATTGTTGACTGATATAAATCTAAATATAGACTGATATAAATCTGACTATTGGAAAGTTGAAGTCATCCCTCATCGTACACTTATGCGTAGAGATGTTGTCACGCTGAATACTTCAGCATAGATCTAAACATGAAAGAGATGATAGGAGATGCTATTAATAGTATTCTATTTTGCCAGTCCTAGCAGAAATTCAGATATAATTCTTGTGAACAAAGACACAGTTCATCGAGATAGTGAGCACAATTGGTACCCATAAGTTGCCTACTTTTTGCTTTAATGTCTTTCCCCTAAACGTTAACCTACTGCAATCATTTTGTTTTTTTCCAGTAGACTTCCAATTACATTGACTATTTGACAACTTAACCTTAACCTTGAAGTGAGATGTATAACGATACCCAAAGGCAAACGTTAGTGTGATCAACACATTTGTTTGCATAAATGAGAAAAATTTTACAACGCATTTTAAGATTCTTTATGATACACTTAATCAATAACCCAAACCGGATCCCTGTCGGTAGTGCTTTTTGTTGTTGTGTGTGGGGGGTTTTTTTTGCATGTGCTTTCAAGACGTCCATGGAAAATAAAAGTAAAAATGGGGCTCTAAACCTGGAATTATTGTCACCCAAATCATTGTTTAGACGCCGACGGGTCCGAAAAACACAAATTTGGAAGAATCTGCTTGCATTTCTCTATGCCACGGCTAACCGAAAAACAAAACGCCGTCTTTACCGACGTCGCCGTCCACCTGTAACCACGCCACGCAACGATCGTTGGATTCGAACCACCCATCTCCGTTAAAGATTCCAACCAGCCACACTGACAGCCCGACCTTTTCCTGATGTCAACAGGATATCGCCAAGGACCATTCGCCGGCGTCTGGCTGCACACGGGATACGTACAAGACGACCTGCCAGACGACAAATTTTGACATTATGCCACCAACGTCTACGACAGCAGTCAACATCAACGCCAGACCTCATGTCGCCAGGGTGGTTCAGCAGTTCTTGGTGCAGCACAATGTTAACATTCTTCCCTGACCCGCTACATCCCCAGATCTGTCCCGTATTGAACACGTCTGGGACGAAATGGAGAGGAGATTGAGACGCTGGCCAAATTCCCCAGTCACGCTTCAGGAACTCCACCAGGTGCTTCCACAGATATGGCATGCCATTCCACAAGACTTCTTGCGACCTTTGATTGGCTCGATGAGGTGCAGGTGTCAAGCATGCATCAATGCTCATCGTGGACATACACATTATGGACAGTGTGAATTTCATTTTGACCGTTCTCTCACTGTGTCCTCATTAGCCATTTGAAATCAGTTTGTGGAATGATATTCTTGCAATATTAAAAACGTTTCACCATAAAAATATTAGTTATTAATTCACAGATCTAAATTCAAGTCAATCACTCTAACTTTTGCCTATATAATCATTGTCACAACAGACAGCCTCCGTGATGTAGTGGTTAGAGCGTCCGCCCGTCGATCCCCGACCGCGTCATACCAAAAGACGTTAAAATATGGTACTTGTTGGTCCCTGCCTGGCGCTCGGCATTAATGGGTACAACAAGGACTGGTCGGCTCGGAGTCAGTATAATGTGTCTGAGTAAGGTATTCATGCTTCACTGCGGCATGGTATGTCAGTGGGCTAGCACTATAAAACTAGCTTAAGTCTGGACTAGTACAAGCAGCCGCACATACACATACACACACACGCATGCACGTCGTCATATGAGCGAAATATTCTCAAGCATGACGTAAAACCAAATTTCACCTCACCTCACCTCACCTCATTGTCACAACAACTAGCGGCTCGTTAATATCCGGGTGTGAATTAATCTTTATTTACCCATTTTTGTGGCAGGGGATGATTAAACATGTCTGGTGGCGAGACTCGCTGACTTCACTGACACATGTGGCCGGACTCCAGTTAGGTAAATCGATACTAATGATGCCAATCACTGCATTGTTTGGTCCAAGCTCTAATAGTTTCAGACCTTGGTAATAACACTGGAATATTGCTACGTGTTAAACAACAAATAAACAAAAGTCGTGACAAATGCCCCCGGATGAAAGACTTTTCCTGATCTTTTCCTGAAGAAAACTAATGGATTGAGTGAAGAAATAACATGTTGTGACTTAATGAAATTGAATTCTTTTCTGAGACTGAGAAATTGCAAGTAACTCGTCACAGATGGTGAAAAAGGTATATTAGTATGTGAATAATACTAGTATTTTATGACTATTCGGAACATCACATAATCACACACATCGATATTCTTAATGTTATATGCAGATGGTAAGTCTTTAATATTGTTCCTGCGGTGTACATGACAAATATCCTGTTTAAAAAGTAGGTGATATTCAATGAAAAAGTGTTGTATATCTTTAGTGAGAAAAATATTTCAACAGAGTAACAAGGACATCTGTTTTTGATGATTGGCCAAAGTGTCCAACTATCCATTTCGTTATTTACCATGAAAACTCAGACTCTATATTTCCGCGTCACCCGCCTCTGTTCTCAATGTAACACCGGATTCAACAAGCCCTACCCATAATCCCCCTCATTTCTGCATTGCAGCGCCAAGCTGGTCAAGAGAGGTCGCACGTTAGTACCGCCCACTGAATAACATGTAATAGTGTTAGAGTGACCCCATTGACAACATTACTAAGCCACTCCCAAGACGATCGTTCTATCTAACGTTAATGCTCTGAATCCATCTACGCCACATTCTGTTCATCCAAACAGGTTCCATCGATATAGTGGATTGTGTATGTCCTCCCTCTAACAACTGAAGTTCTGTGAAGCTCATCTCCAATTTGAGCGGCACTTTGACCACGGTTTCTTAATCTGATAAAAACGGCCTTGTGTGCCATTGATCAACCAGGTCGACGACTATAATGAACGTTGTTTGTACTAACTGTGAAACGTTAGGAGTTCGTGCCATGATAATGCTCTCTCTTGGTCCAAAATGCCACATGCACGTAGACGTTTCTGACATGACTTACGCCGCGTGTAAAAAAACGTTTAAATACGTTTAAAACAATAATTATCAGAAAAAGGTCGGGTTTTTTTTCTCACTGACACAATTCACAGTAACTTTCAAACTTTACCCCGACCATGCTCACATGCACATAATTAAAAATAATTGCACAAAACTGGCGTGTTTGCACGAAATTCATAACAAGTTTTGAATGGAATAATCATTTTCTAAATCCATTACAATAACACAACTTATATCCCAAATAATATTAGTCCAAAATTTTAAATAAATCCTACTTTTAGTAGCAGAGACACACTCATTTCGTGCGCATCTAAAAGTTTGAATCAATAGTGAGTGTGTATAGGGAGCTGTTTCGTAAACTATAGCAACAAGAGTGAGTGGAGTAGGCAGCGGACTTTGTGTGCTGGCGATTAGGTGCCTGACTCTGAAGGTGTGGGTTCGAATTCCAGATGGGACTCAACCCAACAAAAAGTACTAGAATTGATACTTTACTGAGAATATGTAATCCCAAATATAACATGTGTTACATTTGACCACTTTCCAAATGGCATTGTGTATCCGAAGATTTACGTTGATCATGTAATACTGGCTTAGAAACGCTATGGTGTTTGTTGTTAAACAACGTAGAAAACGAATTTGGATGTGGACGGCATTGAACCACGTAAGACTGCTTTTCAACTCGCATTTGTTATGGAATAACAGAATATAAGCATGTCTGTTTTTGTTGGTTAGATTAAGCGAGTACTTTTCATAGCGAATTATGACTGGATTAGATGTTTCTTTGCAACATTGATGACTTTATTTAGGACAAATACAGATACAACATATAAAAGTTTAAGGTAGCCCCTTAGCAATTTTGCCCTGCTGAGTAGGGTATTGTGCATCCCAATGAACTTAATAAGGAGCACTCATGAATTTAAGTCCCAGGGATCATTCATATTAAGACAATGTTTGTTGAAACATATTTACCTTCCCATATTGTAAGTGGTACATACATTATATTCAATACGTGTAAACTACATCAGGATGTCTACATCCTAACTCCTTAGAGCATCGTCATTCTCCTCAAGATCAATTTCACAGAGCGCTAGTACTTTGCCATTCAGGCCAAAGGTACCCCATTTGCCAGTGCGAAACATCCTGCCATAGAGCAGTGCACCTCCAAGGTTTGCCTGATTCCAGTTGACGTAGGGTCCCGGAAACTGTCCATTTGTCCAGCGCCATTCACTATCGGTGTCATTACGCTCCAAGCCGATCCATACAGCTTCGTCTTTAGATAGGAAAACAGTCGTTCTATCGATTGTCATGTGAGTATTCAGCAGCACATGGGCACGTACACAAAGGCAATGTCATGACAGCTAACGTGAGTGGGAAAGACAGAAACAGAGGGCAAAAGATAGAGATAAGATTATGCAGTTTGAAAACCTAAGCAACTTAGGAACGAGAACGGGATGTGTATTTCCACTCAATGTGCATTTGGGGATGTTTGCGCTGAAGGAGATACATCTTGTTTCGGAGTCATTTGTCTGTTGGTTGTATTCTTGAAACCCAAAATATCTTTTGGAGGTCATTCCAGGTTAGTGAGTGAGTGAGTTCAGTTTTACACCGCTTTTAGCAATATTCCAGCAATATCACGGCGGGGAACACCAGAAATGGGTTCGAACGCTACCCCACCGACCCATATTCCAGGTTAGAGTGCCCATGGAATGTTTTTTTCAGGTTTAATAATTTTATACAAGAAATATGATCAAAACCTTCACAATATTCGTATGTGAATACTTTGTGAACTTCTTTTGTATGTACTTCTTTACATCAGGGAATTTATGTAGTGGTTCTAAAACTATTCAATGTGAGCAAGCTATTCAAAACGGTACGCATAACTACCGTCGTCAAGCACTGCTTTTGAGCATGGTAAAACATACTCAATCATAGCCGATAGCCAATGTATACTATACCGCAAAAGAAACGCCACACCGATAGAGGTTTCTCAATACCCGACGAGGAGCTGGAACGGGCATCGGCTATGTTATTTGATATCGAAAAAACCCGGTGACACATCGCAGACAAATCGAAAGAAAATAACTCTTCTTACGGTCAACAGTCCCATCGGTAATGTAACGGGTCTGTGGCACGTCTTCCGGCACGTCTTCCGGCAACTCACCGGTGACCCTGCAGGCACCTGCCAGACCGCCAGGAAATCTGACGATTATTTTCAGTGCGCTGGTGTGGTATGTTCACCAGAGGATAACAGAAAGGTTGTCTGCCGGGAATCGTAGACCGTACGATTAAACTAAGTCAGAAGGTGACCAACCATAGTCTGGGCAAGCATCGAACAGGCGCCGCACGGGTATTAGTCAGACACAGGGAATCTTGACGTGCCTGGTTCGGGGTATAAATAAAGGTCTGAATGGGTTGAGCAGCACAGGTCATCAGATGCCTGACCCACCACACCTGCTGAGACTGGCCCGGCTCCGTATGGAGAATGCCAGAGCCCGACATCGTCAGAATGTAATTCTAGCATCGGGAAGAAGAGAGGGTGACAATACTGAAGCGGCGTCAACAGTTGGTGGATCCGGCCTTGGCTGTTGTGTCGTCCCAAGTACGGCCAGTTTGAGACTCTGATGGCAGTGGGAGTGGGAGCACCATCTCTCCACTGAAATGTGGATTGTGTCGAACACCAACTTTGATTGACAGGGCACTGAGCCCATTCATCTCTAGCGAGTTGGAACCGGGCGATGTTAATCCAGCCATCCACCAGCGCCTAAAGTTCCGGAACCGAACGATTTGGTTTACATCGAAAGGATACCGTCCGGGTATCAGGAGATGACCGGCCGATTCCTGCCATATTTGACGTCACTTGACGTTTTTAGCCTTCCATTTTCCAGTGACTGGAAGGGTATCTTCCGATCATCCTTGGCTTTGTGACTACTGTACCGATGTGGCACAGATGTGGCCGAAAATCTGTCGTACGCCGTAACATCGGTAAAACCCACCGATTCTGCCGCACCGGCCGGCGACCTTTGAAAAATTAGGTATATGTGACCTAGGTATAAGTTGTGGCATGGCCATTGTTTAAAACCAAGATTGATTGTTTGCGACTTTGTCACGATATGCACGTGCACGTGAATATTTCATTTTCACGAATGTCATACGGAATATTTTACCACCTCTGCCTTTTTACTACCGTTTCATTAGAAAACTTGATGTTGGTAATAACTGTCAAATTGGATTGAAAAACATGGTAACAAGACGGTACAATCATAATAACAACACCAACTTGTAAGAACAAAAGTTTGGTTTTGAAAGGTGACGTTTCTTTTGCGGTTCTGTATCTAGTTATATTTTGCCGAACAACAATACTTCTGACAGAGATATTTGTAGGGACGACAGTTTGCTCTGGTTTCGCATGCATATACCATATACTTACCCTTCGCAACAATGACAGCTTGTCTGTTCTCCTCCTCAGATCTAATGAAGGCGAGATGTCCCGAGTTCTCCATACACAGAGTCCTGGCGGCTGTAAATTTCATCTTCGCAGATGAATGCAGCCTGAGACACTGGTTTGTGAATCGACAGTAGATATTGCTGGCAGGACAAGCCCCTGGAAGAAGGCAGTTGAGACTTATTGACTGTTCATTAGTTTACGTAAGCCTCTTTTACTAAAAAATACATAAATACTAAGGACACACAGTGTACTGGGAAAAACAACATTATTAGGAATCAGGAATTAGTCAGTTTCAAGGCCAACAATTATAAGTTAAAAGATTATAATATCAGAAGGTAAGTCACTTACTGTTCAGCAGAGAATAGTATTGAACGCCACTCCGGTTCTGCAGCTGGTGACTGGCAACGTACACATATTTCTCCAGGTAACACTCCTGAGTGTTGACGTCATAGAAGAATGAGGAACAGTTTGCGTTGTTCACACAGGCTACTGCACATTCTGATTTGAGGGTGTCCCCAGACAGGAAGGGACCAAGAGTGTCTAACATGTACCCAGTGAAGAGCAAGGAGAATGTCAACATGGTGGTTTCCTGAGTAGCAACGACTCTGCGTTCTTATATAGTGATTAATTACGTCAGACTGTTTGATATTGACTATGTTTATCTATCCATTAAGTTGATTAATATCGATTTTGTTAAGCATATATTTAACTGCCTATTTCGAAGTTTGCATCGTGTTTTGAAAGAAACCATCAGGCAAAACAAATAATCAGACATGAGTTCGGCACTTTTGTCATGTTCTCACTTTTTAATGCAATTAACCACATTGAATTTCAGCCAAAACTAATTAGCGTGTGTTGACATAAAATTCTTAGAAAGTTTTCACCAATGCGTGATTAATTGATTTAACAATATAAATTTTATTTGTGTATAGTATCTACAAAACCTGGGTTTATGTTTTGCTGATGTTTTCATCATCATCATCATCATCATCATCAACATCATCGTTGCATTTATTTAGGCTGAGTGAGATGCAAAATATAAACTCTGTCCATATTCAATAGAAATGGAGATTGTGTGATTCCAACTATACACCAGGATCTGCCCATCAATTGGTATTGAATAATGATGATACATGGTGTTCCGGAAAAGGTGGCCATGCAGGTCAAGTGTAAGGCACAATGCAGGCAAACTGTTAGCCTCAAAACCCTTTCCATATTCGTCAGAAATCGCGAATGTACTATTTCGACTTTATGACGATTGGCGTATTGATCAAGATGGAATAACGACACAATTGCATATATTAAGCTTTTAAATGCACTCACCAAATGCTGGAGCTGCTTGACTATTGATTAATATATACTACCCATCAAAAGTTTACACTCACTTAAAGCACTCACTATATGTTATGCATATAGGTTACATCGAAGATGAATTTCTCCACTAACTTTGGGGAACCAACTGCACACTTTATGCAGATGCGTTGCACGAGGATCATGCATTAAATTGCTGAAAAGCATATGCAAATATCGTGCATGTGAACAGCTGTGTTGTGGTGTAAACTTTTGTTAAAAATTCGCCAATTTTTACTCAGTTTCATCATTTGTTTAACCCATGACAATAATCTTTTCAACGTTACGAATTTGTTTTACAATACATCAGTTCATGTGTAAATAGTACCTTTAAACAATATGGATTTTTTTTGCAAAATCTAGTTTAGAACAGTTGACTTAAGTAAGTGGCTACATTTACACTAGTGAGTCTAAACTTTTGATGGGGAGTATAAATGGAAAACTGATTATGAGAAAGTTAAAATCTCTTTCACGTTATCATCATTCGGGGCACAATTATATGATTTAATTACACATGGAAGATAGACAAGTCTAATTATTTTTCTGATATGCCTAAGTTAAGATTGTCTCGGTGTTTCGTTGGAGAATGGTTTAAAATCATAAAAAAGCGATGCTGTAAATTGAAAATCCTCGATCAGTACCAACAGACGAGCTGTCCCAGTACCCTGACGTCAAGTCTTTATTTTGCACTTAAGAGGCCACAGGCATATGGTACATGTATACTGACAATATTGTTATTAGGTAGTAGAGAGTACATTTCTCCTGTGTATAAAGGAATGGTATAGGAACATTGGCAACTTTTCCAGGTGTTCCTTGCTAGAGTAAGTTAATAGAGATATAAATATTGTGATGTACAAAGTTATATTTCTTAATATACTTATTTCTTAAATTGTGGTAGGCTGGACAAACACAAAGAAAATGATATTTATCTTCAATTAGATTCAAGTCACACATTTTACATATTCTATCGTCTTTTTTTTATTCCCATATATCTACCTGTTTCTATTAACAAATCATGGGAGGAGCAACGAAATTTTGTAAGCGTGATTTTATATTTCCTTACATTCAAAGATTATAGATAGGTTTCATTGTACATAGATTGCTTAAACATTCTGTAATAGAAACATTTATTTGATACAGATAATTGGTCAAGCCAAGTCTGGAGATATATATCTTGCAACCTTTGTTTAATGGATATGAGAAAATTTGGATGCGAGTCTATGCACTGTTCTAACCATATATTACCGAAACCAGTAGAAAATAGTAAATTTTTTACATCTGTGACCCAATTACGTTTTCCTTTTCTATCGTTCAAAATCATTATAATGTAACATTTTTTGGGTAATCTGTAAGATGGCATATTTAAGATTTTTAACCAATATGTTACTTTGATCACTCACTCATACACTTATGTGAAGAGATTATGTATGTATATCTAAATATGAAAGAGATGAGGGGTTTCACGGGACTCATATTTCGAGTTCAGGTGGTTAAATCTGTTGATGGAAATTTGCTTTAAACGACTATTGACTGATCATTGATTTATTTTGCAAGTCCGAGCAGAAATTCAGATATCATTGTCATGCATAAAGAAACAGATCACCAGGATGTTGGGCACAACTGGTTCCCATAGGTTGCCTACTTCTTGCCTTAATGTCTTGCTTCCAAACTCAACCAACTGCTATTTTCTCTTATTTTGTCGGTGGACTTCCGACTGGTCACAACAATTAGTGGCCCCGAAACATCCGGGTTCGATTTGATATTCACCTGTCCATATCTGTGGTAGGAGGCGACTAAAATTACCTGGTCGCCAGACTCGCTGACTTCGTTCAGACATGTCACTGTATCCCAAATGCGTAAATCAACATCACTGATGACAATCACTGCATTGTCTGGTTTCAAACATTAGTAACAAAGCTGTCGTGACAAATGCCCCAGGATGAGGGACTGTTGGTTTTCCTAATCATGTCATGTACCAAGGTAATATACTCTGTGAAAAATAACACATTTTGACGGAATTATAGCCTTCTATCAATACTTACTGCATATCACAATTTTAATGACGCAGAAAATAATACTTTCCATATTTTTGCTGTGGCATACATGGCAAAAATACTGTTTAATAGGTAGAAGTCCAATGCATAGGTGTCATGACTGTTGATATACCGTATATATAATAACCAATAAGCCAATACATCTGTTAGAACCAGAAAGGTATGTTTGTTTCAAGAATGAGGACGAGTTTGGCAGATGTTATCCGCGACTGATGTGATCGCCAGTGGCGGTTCATACAATTACAATAATAATTATTTGAAAACTGTGTGACAATCTGTCGTGCCGAGGCCATGGTGTCTTCAACATACACAGGTTATGTATCTTAGGCCTTTCCAACTAAAGTGACAGAGTCACAACACCCACACGACAGTCACACGACCAAATTTTGCACAGTCACGTGAATTCGATAGAGCAATTCATATTATTTATTTAATAAGTTTGGACACCCGAATAAAAGAGTTGTTTAACAAACGATAATTATTTTGTTGTCACTTTACGCTATTTCTTACGAGGGGGGACCACTTGCTGGTAGAACAGCCAGGTAATCAACAAGCATGTGCAGTGAAGTTTCAATTTCACACGAACAACTCGCACACCTGGCTGTTCTACCAGAAAGTGGTCCTCCCTCGTAAGTAAATAGCGAAAAGTGACAACAACATAATGATCGTTAGTTAATGAACTTTTTTCAAAATTATGAGACAAATCATCAGAGTTGGTCTGTCGATTTCAAATGACTATGCAAAGTTAGATTTTGTTGCATTTATTAGATTTTGTGTTAGTGAGCAATTCATCAGTCTCAAATGAGTCAAACGGACTATTACAGGCAGTGTTCTTAACCTTCGGAGCAGACTGAATCATGTAGCAGCTGTGATTTATTTTATATTTTGTGTCAGTACTTTATGTTTTGTAAATGTGCAACCGCCCAGTAACTGAAACTGTTTTTTAATATCTATCTCTGTCTATTGTACCGTGATGACATATTCTGAATGCCAGCAGAGATTGATTCGGGTGACATCTTGTGTGGAACTGGGGTTGGTGTTTAGTTTCCTGTCCTTGTAAGGAACTTTTATATTGCTGCTTAAGGCCAGTATGTATGTAATAGATGTTGAGAACTCCTTTATTGTTAAATGTTGATGGTAAAACATTTGATTTGTTTTTCTGAAGGCGATGATTTTATTCCGCACGTATGCTCAAAGTATGAAGATTATTTGTGGATTCCAAATGTGATATAGCAGATGTTGAATGCAGAAGCACTATTTTCCCTACCTTACTCACTAACAGTGGGCAATGACTGTCTGTGAAGTAGGTGTAAGACTTTGTGTTATTGATCTAACTGTATATAAATTTAAGTAACATGAGTTATGGATTAAAAATTATTCAGCTTCAGCTACAGTTTCATTATCCTGACAAATTCTAATTCATCATCTTTTTCGGAACGCTATGATGCTTTCTGTTAAACGCCATAGAAAACGTATTTGGATGTGGACAGTGCAGGTTTAATCGCATTATCATGAAAGATGCTTTGTCCGTTTGGTTCCTTAAAATGCTAATGTAACACAGGCTCAGAAACGCTATAATGGTATTTTTAGCTTGGGCTTTTAAACAACATAGAAAACGAATTTCGATGTGGACAGCATTGAACCTTGTAAGACTAATTGCTCTTTTTCGCTGCTTACTAGCTCGTATCTGTTATAAACAACACAGCATAAGCATGTATGTTTTGTAGTTTAGATCTAGCGAGTAATCTTCACATAAAATTATAGCTGGAGTAGCTGTTTCCTTGCAACATAGATGTTTATTCAGGACAAATACAGATACGATATTGAAATGTTTAAGGTAGTCTCTGAACAATGCTAGGGTGTTGTGTAGGATATCATGCATTCAAATATATCATATATAAGCTACCAGACAAAGCAAAGTTATCACCTTTAAAGTAATTATATTAATAAACAAAAACGATGGCACAGGTTTGAACCCAAGCAGAAAACATTCGCAAAAACGCAACATGGTCCCGATAACAATGCAGCTGCCCGAAAACTTCGTGCGAATCGTGCATTTTTCAAAAAGTTAAAAACGTAATTGTGGGACATTGGTCCGAATGCACGTCCATGATTGTGGCATAAATACCGATGTTGGACAGAGCACTCATGCAGTAACCAAAAAGCCACCATAAAT